TTCTTGCGGATTGCACTCTTGGTCTGTGGGACAGCCAATGAGACACGACACATCGGTGTGCTGGCGAAGACATCAACAAAGGAACGACTTGCAGAGTCTGGCCTAGTGCGTTACCTGTCCTTGCTCCGGCGGGCCAGTGCGGTGGTACTCCGGCTGGATGGTGGAAGAATGAATACCATGGTGGTGTAACACCTGCACAGGTTTGTCAGCGAAGAATGAACGGAACATACGAGAAGCTAACCTTGCGGATGGTCGCAGCGATTGGCATAAAGTCTTTGTCTCTCGAAGCATGGACATGTACTGAGGCAATGTTTTTCGACTCGGAGAGCTAGAGCACTCGATAAGCGGGTCAAAGCAGGAGCTGGGAATGAATAAGACAGACCTGCCATATGTGCAGCTCGTGTACACTGTGGACACCATCGACGTCTAAGATGGCCGATCGAACTTGATCTAGCGATATTGTCGAGGGTACACCTTGCAGCAGAACAAACGACGCGCTTCGTACTTTAAACCAGAACTAAGAATCGCACGAAAATGACATGAAACGGGGACATACCAAGCGGGAGCGCAGAAGAGAAGATAATGACGGTGATAATGAGACTGATAATCGGGTCACAGTAGAACCTGAATGACCAATTGGTCTGCCAGATGATCAGACCGGCTGCGATTACCCCGACGTTACCCAGCGCGTCGCCTAGAACGTGCAGCACCAAAGCGCGCATATTCATCGACCCCGCGTGTGAATGCCCATGGTGCGAGTGCCCGGCACCGGCATGGTTGTGCGATGCTGCTGCGAGCAGGGGTGTCTCCTCAGTGGACGGGCCGTCGCCGTTGTGCACGTGTTCGCGGCCGGGAGAGCGCGAGCGGGTGCGGGCAATGTCGAGTGCCGCTGGCGAGACAGTAAGTTATACCGACGGAAAGTTAGCCTTTCCGCACCTTTCACAATCTTATCACGGGTCACCACAGGGTGGCCGGAGAGGGCGTCCGAGGACTCTGAGTCGGAGTCGGATCCATTGACGTGATTGGAATCCTTGCGGCCTTGAATTGAGCTATCTGAAGTAATTGCAGAGCCACTGGGTGCCTTGACAGTCTCCGTGTGGGAATGCGAATGGGAGTGGCCATGTTCTACTCGGGAGTGAGAAGTACGCTCCACAAACCATGACACGATATGCTCACCGCGGAACAAGAATAGGCCAACGAGGTTGGAGGCTAAGCCGAAAGTTCCGACGATGACGACCAGACGAGGGTTCGAAATGTCTGCAGTGGAGCAAGTTGGATGGCGCTCGATGCTAGGCGAGCGGCTTACCCGGGGTGTTGATAAGCCTTTCTAAAGCTTCGAGGGAAATGGAGAAGCAGAGGGCTGCATTCTGGCCGTGAGCGTCTCGTCAAGCAAGAATAAGCGACCCTCTTACCCAAAAGAAAGACGCCATTAACAAGTGCTGCAAGGATTTCCGCGCGATGCCACCCGTAGGAGTACCGAGAGTCGCTCGAGTTTTGTTCAGTCAACTGAGGTAGGCTGGTTAGCGATATGGAACAAAGGCATAGCGCGACGAACTTTAATCGCGTAGAGCGCGACGATTAAGCTCATAACATCACTGGAACAAAGTTGAGAAGGCGGGAAAGGCAGCATGAGCGCAGGTGGCATACTTGAGCATATGGAAGCTGTCCGCGACGAGCGCAAGAGAACCGACGGCATAACCTGTGCTATCTGGTCAGGATTGGGGCGATGGAGGCTGGGGAAGGCGACGGACCTGAGATGAGCTCCACGAAGAAGAATATAACGTCTATGACCAAAAGGGCCTTTATTCTGGCTGAGCGCGACATGAGCGAGGGTGTCAAAGAGGTTTGCACTGGTCACTCGATCATTTTATAGGAAAAAGGACGGCACAGCCTGTGTGACCGGAATATTCCCTAATTTAGCAGACGGCATATAACACCATGCCGGTAAAAACATAACATATTCACCGGCGTGGAACGCGGCGATTACCAAATTTGATAGGGCTTCCAGATTAGGCGCGTCTTTTTCTTGCCGCGGCGAGGCACGGACTACTGCTCCCGCTTGTCAAACTCATAACCGCTTGTCCGCGCCGGGCAAGATGGCGTGCCAGACACCGCACATAGGTGAAGGCAAGATAAACTCAGCCGGGCGCACGATAGGGTGAATTCGAACGACTGTATCAGAATACCTGAAAGCAAGATAAACTACGGTCGGGATAAATAAGTAAGAGAGAAAGAAAAGGTATAAAAGAGACCTCAGCCGGGCACACGAACCGGTTTAATGGCTCAGATACAGTATGTAGGATCGCTCAGATTTTTTTAGCACAAAATCAAACAGCAGCTGTTGATAGTATCATGCATGTAATAGATTTTTACAAAAGTATGTTACAGGCTGCTAGAGAGGCTTATCCAAATCTTCTTCACACAAATTGTCATGAAAAAGACTGGTTTTGATGGCAATTACCAGATGACCTAACGCAGACGCCAAGAGTTATTTTCGAAAATCAAGCTAGGCGGGAAAGGCAATGAACCTCGCGATGAGGCCGATTTACCAATGCAGCAATGCAGCAATGCTGCAATGCTGCAAGGCTCACAGCTTGCCTCTGCCAACAGGCCAACATGTAAATTTATTTGCCAGCGTCATCGGCTGTAGCGTCCTCTTCCTTCCCACGGAGACCGAACTGTAAACGGGCGACATTTGACCCGAACGGGCGACATTTGTGCTCATTTGGGAGGGCATTCGACAGCATGCATACTGAACCCGGACATCATCTATAGTCTCGATAACGGACCTGGACTTCGGAAGAGGCATGTTAACTTTCTTTTTTGAGATCCCAGAAAGGAAAGTGACAGAGAGTCACACTGACTCACACATCATGAAAGATCTACGCGTAGCCGACTCATAATTTTGATCTCGGATCAATGGATTATTACTAAGTACATAGTCCATGGATTTGTGGCCCGACACCCGTTCTAAAATTCGGGTAAGGTGTGGGTAGGGAGAAGCTGGCTCACCCGCAGCTGGGTATAGCAGTCCTCGAAGAGACATATTTGAATGAGAGTCCGATAGCGGGTTCGAACCCTGAAAAGCACAAAAATATTTTTCTGGAATTTTACTAAATATTTTTTGAAGCTTTGAGGGTCACCCAAACGAACCCAAATGCCAGATTTGGGCCTGGTAACAATCATCCTCCCCGAATTCTGGACTAGATTCACTACTAGAATTTTGAAGGATGGTGGGTCAAGTGACATATGGATCACGTTGTCAAATCTCCCACGTGCCACTGCCAGTGACCTGACCAAACAACATGCAAAGCGGACGACTGTTGACTCCAACCCTCATCATGGCCTCCGAAGCGCAAATCAAAAGCGAAATTGCAAGACTGACCGGTATGGTTCCAATTTCCATCCACCATCTCGCCTTCATGTCCTTCTTAGCCTCCATCAACCAACACAAATCAGCAACCTCGAAACCCCCACCTCGCAGCAACTCCTACATCAACCCCAACTACAGACCACCGGCCAACAAGTACATTCGACCTTCGACAACGACCGTTTTAAAGGCCCCGATCTCCCAGAGCCGACCCACGCCTTCAACACAAGTCAAGGAGGTTGTCCTCAATGGCGTCGCTTTCGAATCATCAAGGCGGTCTTTAGTCCGCAAGGATCGTGCGTGCACCTTTTGTTCTTCATGTTCATTCTCTCATATCGCTCTAGTACCAAAGCCGTCTACAAACAAAACTACTACCCCACAACCTCCCCGCCCTCGACCCCATTTCTTGACAAATCCTGGCGCCCGTGTCTACAAGCCAAAAGCCTCCCGCGGCCGCCGCCTTGGTCCCGTAAATATGACATTGGCCAACGGCCGGAGACCTTTCCAGTCCGTTCGATCTTCAAACTCAGCAAGCGCCCTAATACATCTTATTAGATCTCGCCGGCAAACTAATAAGCGTCTCAAGTACTCCGATAAACCTTGCCCCCGCTTTACGACGACAGGTGCGCCGCCCGCCCTCGACAACCGATCCATTCCTGAAAAATATTTGGCGACCCGCGTTCACTTTCGTTTTCTTCTGTCTAGGTTCATGCAGTCGTGGCCTCACCTGTTTGTATCAGCACGACCCCGCCAAGATCGCCGTCTGCTGGAACTTTCTGCAAGGCAGCTGCCCCAACACTGCTGAGACATGCAATCTGTCGCATGAGCCGACGCCGGAACGGACTCCACTCTGTCTGCACTTCCTCAACAAAGGCCGCTGCACTCGGGACGGGTGCCCTTTCCCACATGTGAACGTTGGCGCGCGGCAGGGTGTCTGCCGCGACTTCGCGGTGCTCGGCTATTGTGAACGCGGCCTGGACTGTGACAAGCAACATGTGCGCGAGTGCCCCGACTTTGCGGAGCGGGGCACCTGTGCCACCAGGGGATGCAAGCTCCCGCATGTTATCCGCGCGAACCGCAACCGGAAGGCACCAGCCCCGGCAGCGCAAAAATCGACATCGACCTCGACATCGGCACTGACAGCTGATCTACCGACTGCTCCTTCTCTCCATGGTGTTGCTGACTCAAGTGCTCTGACTGTTACGGCTGAGGACGCGCAGCTTGGAGATGAGTACATTTCACTGACCTTTAATGAAAGCGAGAGCAGTGAGGAAGATGACGAGAGTGACGAGGAGGAGACGGATGACGATGAGGCAGGTGTCGCCGACGACGGCGTGCGTGATAGCGCCTCCCCTCCAGGAGCCATTGAGTGAAATTTTTTATTCTTTTCTTATTCATGTCGATTTGTACAATATACTTCTTGAAAAATATGACAAGAATAATTCGGATGTCGGCGAGCAGACTGCGACTGTTGGTTCGACATGGGAGACCCTAAACCGCTGACGCAGCGTCGATCTCAAAGCTGCCCCCTGGTACGCCGTGTGCTGATGAGCAGGTCTGACAAGCGCCATTTTCTAAGTATGCACGTATGTCTGTGCTATCTATCATGAAGCGTCAGCGTCACGTTGTCGGCCTGATGGTCTAGTAGTATGATTCCTTGTTAGGGTTGGTATTCTATCCAACATACATACCATCGAGGAGGTCCCGGGTTCAATTCCCGGTCAGGCCCTTTTTTCTTTCCTTTTTTTGGCAACCCGCAACTCACGCAAAGGAATTTTTGAACAAGGCAGGCAAACAGAAAGTCCAGTTGTTGGGTACCAGCAGTATTGTTCCAGAAATAAATCAATTCTTGACTTGGGAAAAGGATCTGCTCGCTGCTTGCGAGAATTCCGTATGTCAGATCTATTATTGGCTTGCTTTAGGACGAAGAAGAGGAGCTACACGGTATCATCCACAAGATTAAACAAATAAAGAGCAAGCCCTACCGGGAAAAATCCTATTGAGTCATTCAAAATGTCTTGCCGCTCTATCTGGACCCAGCGTAAGTATCCGGACAATTCCAGCCTCAGAGAAATTGAGGGTTGCTGACAAATAGCCTTTTATAGTATCTCGCGCGTAATGGGAATTCAAACTCAGATCGACCAGCCTATCGACACAGCTAAGTTTCGATAGGCAGGCTGGATTCGAGCCTACCAAAAGTTAAGTAAAACTAGGATCACCAACAGGTTTGGAAATTGGATTGATGTTTGTCAATGTCACTGCGACGCGACGCGACCGCCGAGTTCAGTTCAGTCACTGTGACTCGCGTCGGACGGTATTAAATGATGTCTGTGTCGCTCTCTTTCTCTCCAACCAAATGCCTCCAAGGAAGCGACAGAAACCGGCCTCCACTGCTCCCGTCATGCCCGCCAACCCGAAGTCGAGTAATGGGCCACGACCCGCCCAAAGTTCCAATGGGCTACTCGCCGTCCCCGTTGAGATACTTGACTTGATTTCGATGCATTTTGGGCCTTGCATCCCAATCCCTTCTCGAGTTCCCGATGCTGCTATGCCTAAGGAATACCGTGACCGCACGCTCTCTCTTCGTGCCCTGTCACAGACTTGCCACCATTTGCGGCTGGTCTTCCTGACATTGTTGTGGGAGACCTGGAACATTTGCGTCAGCCCCCCTTCTGGTGCCGCTTTCTACAAGGTGCTTGGAGACCAGTTGCAGCGCACGAGCCTGGGCTTGGTTTCGGAGCCGGAACTGCTATCTCTTGTCAAGTAGTGCTTGGTTATCCCATGTTGCCTCGAAACTGAAACCGCCTGTGTAGAACAGTTAACGTCGTACTCACGCGATACTCGGCTGCGGAAGTTTTGCCGCCCTTCGCAAGATGCTTGACGCAAATGCCAAACTTGCACACGCTGCAAATCACCCACGCTCACCGGGCAATGACCACTCACCTCAAAGATAATTTTGCCGGTATAAGTCTGCCGAGCATACGGAAAATTATCCTCCCTTCATGGGCTCATGAAGTCCTCCGCTGCTGCCCAGAAGTAAGACATGTAGTATGCAGTGACGGACAAAAGGACGAGAGCAAGCTCGTTTCTGCTATTGCGAAATGTTGCAAGAAGGTCGAAATAATCGAGTGGTTCTGGTTGCAAGACAACAGTGTGAAGCGTGAGCTGGCTCTTCTTTCAGTGGCTTCGTGCCCTTCCATTCAAATTAATTTTAGGACTCGTCAAAGCAGCCCCGAACATCACTCAAGTTTTATTCGAGAGGGATCCAGGTGTTGTAAGTTTATTTGCCCCTCTAACTACACGCTTCCTTTTTAAATGCAGACTCGGAGTAGGACACAATCAACAGCCTCTCCGCCATCAAGAATTTGGACACCATTGCAATTCGATGCACGCATCTCGCGACGCGAGCAACTCCAGCGTTTGCCGCATACCTTGAGACTACGGAACTTGGGGAGAGCCTTCAGAAGTCCATCGAGGCTGCCAAAAGGCTCCTCCGCAAGCAGCCTACCACCTCCCCACATCTGCGGATTCGTCACATGCCAGTGGCCTGGCTCGAGAAGGTGCCCTCTGAACCCTGGGAAATCGTCGAAGACATCCCTGTCTAGACTGGCAGTATGTTGTTATTAATAATACTGTATACATGGACTTTTTTCAGTCGGGTTGGGCAGCTCATTCTCACTAAGCTTGGTCAGAGACAGGTCTGGTTAGTTGTGTGACGAACAAGAGGGTCATTTTGAGTTCATTCGTCGTGTAATATCGTCAGACCTCCGAGTTCCACTTTAATTTCTCAGTGAAGCTGGCATGCCGACAGATGACAAGTTGGCAGAAGTCTGAATAGCGACCTCTGCATGCCGACTACAGAGCAAGTGAGCGCGCCAAGTTCACACCTTATCTACAGAAATCTGCCTGTTGAGAGTACACAATGCAAGTGATATATATATAGAGTATATGTATACTAACGCGACGCGGGTTAACAGCAAACTACACACCATAAGACAGACACGTTACGCGGCGCAGGCACAATGAACGAAACAATGATCAGTAGGTATGCACGGTGCGTGGAGAGAAGAGATAAAGAGCAAGGAAACCGAATACAGCCAGAAACCCATGCCAAAAGCTACCGCGGCATGGACATCATTGAAACGTTATCGGACATGAAGCGCTGCGGGCCAGCCGCCGTCCGGAGCGCCAGGACACGGTCATCCGAAACCATAAGGATCTCGTCACGGCCAACACCTTGAGGGTAACGCGGCGGCGTTTGATGGGGATACTGGTTCGGGTATTGCATATACGGAGGAAGCGCACTGTACCCGCGACCACCGGCTGAATTGGGGGGGCTGTACGGGTCATACTGGCCCTGGTAGTTGTATCCCCCGGCGCCGTTACTGACCGGTGGTGTGTCGGCAAACAGCAACCGCAAATTCGAGCCTTGGATGACTTGGGACATAAGCCCCGTCTCAATATGACGAATCTCGACAAACGAAGGCTCGAATGCGAGTACATATGGCTCATGTAGCGCTGGCTAAATTGAGAAGAAAGTTTGTGCAAATAATGAGGAGAAACACACCGAAACCAGTCGGTGTTCCCTCCCAGAACACCATAAACTCCTTTCGTGACCGTCGTCCTGTTTTGTTGACGTAGAAAGCAAATTCTGGCAGCGGTATCAATGAATGCTCTTGAGAAGAGCCGAAATGGACGCACCGTCGTAGCAGAGCAGAAAGTCGTTATTTATTCGATAAATTGCCATCGGGCGCAGATTCTCCCGTTTCCGGACAAAATCGAGCGACTCGTCATTAGGGTCCAGTAGGCCCTGCGTTTCTAACGACTCTAGATCGAGGATCTCGAAGCCTTTCGAGCACCCGATGCACAGCCGTGTTTTGAGGTAGTGTATTGACGTCGACTCGACTGGGATGTAGAATTCCTGCATCTTGGTGAGCAACAACAGCGAGGCGCAATGGACCTGACGGCACCCTGAACGGCTTGAGCGTGTCGTTTCCGCCCTGCAATAATTTCTTGAACGTGGGCTTCGCACGACCACGTGCGTTCTGCTCGATGGGCTCTAATGCTTTGAACGTGCTGGACAGCTGCGTCGACTTGACGATACAAACGAGGACGCGACCGAGGCAGAATCCGGCCTTGAAGAAGGATGTGTGCGTCGAAATACGCTTCATACGTTTGAGTCCTGCTGTGGGGTCCACCGGATCCAGCGCCTCAAGCGGGAACGTGAACACTTGGCGTTCTGAAGGACGACTCAGTCTGATGAAGTGAGCAAGAACACATGTGCGCACCAGCAAGCACGATGAGCTGGTAGTCTTCCAAAACATCGATCTGGCTCACGTCAGACAGCGCGAGCACCTTCACAGGATCCTTGGTGGGCTCCCGGAAGTCCGAGATATACACGCCGTCATCTGTCCCATATATGATCCGCCGTCCGTAGCCTACCACAGTCAATAACCTCCCCTCGGCTACCAATGAGAAGCAACTCACTAAAAGGTGCCGCGCAATTGACCTTGTTCTCAATAAAGAAGCCCTCGCTGAGCGCGACCGTGCCGAACACCATGCTTCGCTCACGCATTGACGTCTGCTGCTTCGAAATTTGCTCGACCCACTTGCGCTGGGCCAGCGGCGAGCCGGCCCACAACACGAGGCTGTACATCTTACGACCCAGGTGCGCGAAGTTGATCCAGTTTGGGCCCTTGGCGTCGGGACGAACGCTCACCACGGGTGGGTGCGGTGACCCACGCGGAGCGCTCCCGAACGACCCCTTCCGCGTCAGCTGCCGAGGGCGGTTCCCACGTAGCGTGTCTTTGCCATTCGCAGGCTCTTCTGACGACGCGCTGATGAGAAGAAGCTCAAGAGGAATAGGCTAGCGACAACGAAAGGAATGTTTAAGAAGAGTGGTCGGCGTGCTGGAGATACCACGTACTCGTCGATATACTCGGTATATCTCGTGCGTCTTCGTTTTGACCAGCTTCGCAAATAGCAATGCATGGTCGAATAGATACACGTGCAGCTCTCCGTCACGCTTGTTGAGCACACCCTTGTAGATAAGCTCGCGCCCGTCTTCCTGCAGCCGTAGATCCTGCACGCCGCGTCGGTGTCACGTTGCATGGCACAAACACCATCAACTGCACTCACCACTTTCTCCCCAGGCTTGAACACGAGTTGTGAGTCGAGTTGCGCGAGGTTGAAGCGATTCTCCGCGCGGCCCGACTCCTCGTTCACCCGCGAGAGGAGCGCGCGTATTTGCGCGACGACTTGTGGAATGACGTGTTTGTCAGGTGAATCGTCGGGTGTGTGCTTGAGCACAGCCTCCAGCAGCAACGGGTACCGCGCCAGACGCGTTGTCGGCTTCGTGAGGTACGCATTCAGCTCTAGCTTCCGCGACTCGGGGAGACGCTCCGTCGTCTACAACCGCGGATTGGCAAAGTCCGACAAAAAAAATCAAGGCAAGAGACGCACCTCCACAAACGCCGCAAAAGCCGGGTTCGAGCTCTTCTCCTTCTCGAATTCATACTTGCCATAGAGCTGGTGCGCGCCATAGCTCACGAACGGTTCAAAGTGTGGTATTGCATCCAGGAAGATGTCCCCAATCTTCTCCACCACAGCGAACGCTCGCTGCCGCTTGTTCAGCGCGTCCCGCAGCTGGACATTCCATTCCCATCAACACAAAAAAGAACTGCGTATACCGGCGTGCGCACCTTGGTGTTAACCGTAATAATATCGTGC